ACTATTCCTCCCACTGACACCAATGATACTTACCTTGCTGACCCCTGCTCCAGCCTGGGCTCGCTCTCTCACTTACCTGTCAGCTGTCTTCCTTCTCTGGCCGCTCTCCTCTTCACTTACTCCGGCAGTTCCCTCGATCTTCTTAGATCTACGCGCGCTGCCGCTCGGCTCCTCCTCTCCAAGCTCCACCTCCTCGCCGGTGATTGGCCGCCTGTGTGCCTCTCCTGAGCTACAGTTCCGGTGGCCAATCAGCGGCGAGGAGGCGGAGTTGTTGAGGGATCCCGGAGGTGTGGCCAGGTGACAGGGCAGCGTGTCATCCCGCCCACACATCGACTGAGTCAGTGGAGCGGTGTCTCGGTTCCTAAGACCATCGGAAATATGTGTTTTCCGATGGTCTTAGGCGACCCCTGGGAAATGGTCGTTCGAACCCCCAGGTTGAGAACCGCTGCTGTACACACTAGAAAAGCGCACAGATAAATCATCCGCCTTATTTACAAATATTTGAAGGCATCAGCAAAGTGATCGATGTTCTACTGAGATTCCCCAATAAATAAGCGCTGGCACCTCGGGCCTTTCACTTCAGGATCTCATTGAATTAATCATCCGATTGTTTATTTCTGGAACCACAAATGTGAGACAGTAGAAAATTTACTGATGTATAACGAAGAGCTGTACACAACTCCACCTGAAATGCCTCCGAATTCCCATCAGCCTCTCATTTATTCCACACCAGATGCACAACAGCTTCCGGCTACAGAACTCCGCTGACAATTTATCACACCAAGAAACAAGATTTATCAGTTTTTCAGGAATCTCTATCGGTGTTTATCCCGGTAGAGAGGGGAAATGCTACTTAGAGATCGCTAGAAGTGAAATAAGTTGAAAATAATTACAGCTGTCAAGAAACGGATCGCAAACACCCGAGAACAGAAAGAAAGGAAAATAAAACATTGTGTTCATATTTACCAAAGAAAGAAAATGGTGCAAACAGATGACACCAGAAGCCTCAAAAAAACTTAGCCACACTCTTGAGTGTCTGTTACGTAAGACTAAGTCCCAGCAAGACTTCACTCAGTATAAATCTCTGCTCCAAACTTACAATTTCTACCTCCGCATTGCCAAACAGACCTATTTTTTTTCACTGTTATTAACACCCTCTCACACAGTAACCGTCAACTCTTTCCACCTTTAACACTCTACTAAGTCTTTCACTGCCTTTACCCACTAACTCAGTTCCCAGGAGATCGCAAATCTTTTAAAAAATAAGATTGATCCAGTACATGTTGAGATCTCCACTGTACAGATAGTTCCTCCACCTAACATTCCATGTCCACCTGCACACTCAATAGTACTATACAGGAGGTCACTAAACTTTTTTTTAATGTGCACCTAACAACCTGCCCCCTGAATCCTGTTCCCTCATAAATACTATGGTTACCCTCTCTCCTACACTCTCTAAACTCACATCCTCAATTTCTCCCTCTCTGCTGATGTTTTCCCCAACCCTCTAAAATAGGCACTGGTCACCTCCTACTTAACAAGTCCTCATTGAACCACACCAATCTTAACATCTAAGACCCAATCTTCTTGATCCCTTTTACCTCCAAACTCCTTGAAAGCCTAGTGTACAACCGCCTGAGCTACCACCAATGGTGGTCACTATTCTGTACTCTTACTCCTGGACTTCTCTGTTGCCTTTGATATGGCTGACCACTCCTTCTCCCTCAAAAAAACTCCATTCCCTTGTACTGTACGCTTCATTTTTTTGTCATCTTACCTATCTCACTTCACCTTCACTTTCACTTACAATTTTACCTCCTCCTCTCCTCTGTCTTTTTCTTTCAGGATCCCCCAATGTTCTGTCCTTGGACCTCTCTTATTCTCGATCTACACCTCCTCCGTGGGTCAGCTGATAGCCTCCCATGGCTTTCAATGCCATTTCTATCCTGACAACACCCAAGTTTATCTTTCTACCTCACCCCAGCAGTCTCCTCACGCATTACCAATTTACTAACAGACACAGTATGGATGTCTATTACCAATTCTTATTACAAGAAGGACAAGGTGTGCTAAATGTCCACATCCACATATAGTGATATACATTTCAAACAAAATTGGGTGGCCATGGATTGAGTAGATATACACACAATAGGGTCAGGTCACCTTTCACTATTTTTTTTTAGATTCTGGGAAAACCATAGAAAAACAGAGAGAATATAGAAACACAATGCTGACAGCGCCTCTGTCAGAACTTTGGTAATAATTTGTAAGCCTTGGTCCCCTGATATGATCTCATGGGAGAGTATGCTGTGCGGTTCTCACCATTTTATAGATCTTCCTTAAGCTCTTCACAGCCGTTTTACGAACAAATTTCGACAGAGATGGGTTTGTCGGTCCAGCTAGTTTTGCTGCGTCCCCTGGGGTCATGTTGGCGAAAGCATGGATCAAGAAATTTAACTTCACAGAAACACACTGCAGACTCTCTGTAATCTTGCTGGAGGAACAGAGGAAATATTTCACAATTCCAGAAATCCTTTAATCATCATTTTCAATTACAGCTATGTATCATTGTCAGCCTGCAGATTAACAGCGATTACTGCTATCAGCTGCAACTACTGCAAACCAATCAAGGACTGGCAGGCTAACAAAAGATGATTTTTAATTGGCTCTGGATTTAGCTGTGCTATGTGTAATTTTTTTTCACAATGGTTGGACCTTGAGGGAAGCTTATCACGCTTCACATACAATGGGAAATCTATCAGCTATTAAGAGTTTTATTCCTAAAGACATACACTATTAGTAAACATGAAAATGTGTTAGTAGAAATCTAGAATTATTCAATAAGCTATATCATGGATTCCATTGCCACATACCTGGAGCCTGAGTCTCATTATTCCATACCTGAATCCCATAAGCACACACCCATATCCCATCACCACATACCTAGATCCTAGGTCTCATAACTACATACCTGGATTCAGTCATCACATACTGGTATCCCCAGGTCCCATCACCTGAACCCCATCACCACATACCTGGATCACAGGTTTCACAGGTTTCATTGCTACATACCTGCATCCCAGGTCTCATTGCCACAATTCTAGATCCTTGATCCCAGGTTTCATCACAACATGTCCCGTGAACCCATCACCATATACCTGGATCTCATCATCACATATCTGGATCCCAAGTCCCATTACCACACACCTCAATCCCAACACTACATACCTGAATACCAGGTCCCATCAACACATATACTATGGTGGGACTCACCTGCCTTTTGATCTGCAGTACCAGGGCTGGCCAGCGGGTGTTCCCAGCAATCAGAGACTCAACTTTGCAGCCAGCTAACACCTGTAACTGATTATGCTGGGGTATTTAAGGGATGGCCAGACCCACAGACTCTGCCTTGGTGTGTGTTTGTCCTGGGCCCTGCATCCTGTTTCTGTCCTGCATCCTGTTTCTGATCCTGTTTCTGAACCGCTGCTGACTTCTCCTGCTCTGATCCCGGCTCGCTCCTGACCATCCCTCTGTCTGACCCTCTGTACCACGCTGCTTGCTACCTGTTCTGATCCCTGGCTTGTGACCCTGACCAATCTCCGCTTGCTCCCCCTGTACCTACCTGCCCTATTGATATTGACCCGGCCTGCCTGACGACGCTTGCTTGTATGTACTGTTATCTGTGGGTGGTTTTTGGTTTGTTTGCACTGTATTATGTTTTAGTATTGCACTGCGTTTATGTTTGTATTGTTAGTGTTAATAAATTATATTGTTTATAACATATCTGAGGTCTGCGTTTCCCTGCGTCAGTCACACATCTCTGGTCACACCTGGGAGCCCTGACATTACACCAAGGCCAATCCTGACCAGAAGTGGCTGCACAGGGAAGCCATCTTGGCTTGTTGATGGGAAGGATGGATCTGGATGAGGTTGAGTATTTATCTCTGCTAGTGCTTGATGACAGAGAGTATGCTTATCAGACTCTGAAGGAGTATCCCCGGGATGAACTGCTGCTAGAATGTATACGGCTCGCTCATGTTCTAGTAGATCAGGGCACAGATTTCTCTATGGTGCAGCCATTGATTCAGGTTTGTGTTGAGTTGGTTTCATCTGGTTCCCCCGAATGCAGGGATGAATTTTTGCCACCATTTAGTGCAGACCAGGTTGAGTCCCTGGTGTGGTTATTAGAGGATGATGTGGGTTACTTTCTGGAGCGTTATTCCACATGTTCACCACAGACACTAAGAGATTGTATAAACGCAGTGCAGTCATTGACCAGACAGGCTTTGTGTAAGCTCAGCTTTGTTCAACCCCTACTGCAGACATGGACAGACTTGTTGCACCCAGCCTCAGTCAGCTTACAAAAACCCAGTCCTGCTTCTAACTCTACTCCTGTATTCCCACCAGCTCCTCCAGTTACAGCCCAGTATACTTGGCTATCTACCGCATGTCAGTACCCTGTTCCCACTCGCTGCACCTATCCTGCCTTTAACCCTGTAAAAAAGCCCTCTGTAGCAACTGCTCCCTCTCCTGTTCCATCCTCCAGTTTTTCTCTGTCTCCAGCTGCTCCATTCGTTTGCAGACCTGCGTTTACTTGCAGTGCTCCAGTAGTTAAAACCAGAAAAAAGCGAAAATTCTTTCCAACCAATACCATCCTGCCAGTATCCAAACCGGTGAACCTGCCTTCCGTGACTCAGCCTGAAGCCTCTACTCAGCCGGATGCCTCTCTTCAGCCGATGCCTCTCTTCAGCCGGATGCCTCTCTTCAGCCGATGCCTCTCTCAGCCTCTCCTCAGCCTGATGCCTCTCCTCAGCCTGATGCCTCTCCTCAGCCTGATGCCTCTCTTCTCAGCCTGATGCCTCTCCTCAGCCTGATGCCTCTCCTCAGCCTGAAGCCTCTCCTCAGCCTGATGCCTCTCCTCAGCCTGATGCCTCTCCTCAGCCTGATGCCGCTACTCAGCATGATGAACTGATCCAGCCCCAGCCCGACGATCCTATTAGGCCAGTTGACTCGATGCCCGCTGTTGATCCAGATGATCCGGTACCTGATCCAGTGCCCGCTGTCGTGCCAATTGACTCAGAGCCCGCTGTCATACCTGGTGACCCGGTGCCCACTGCCTTTGCTTGCCAGATGACGCGGTGCCCGCTGGCAAGCCAAATGACCTGATGCCTGGTGACCCAGTGCCCGCTGTCATACCTGGTGACCCGATGCCCGCTGTCGAGCCAGACAATCCGATACCTGATGACCCGGTGCCCACTGTCGTGCCTGTTGACTCGGAGCCCACTGTCTTGCCAGACGACTCGGTGCCCGCAGTCTTGCCAGACGACTCGGTGCCCGCAGTCTTGCCAGACGACTCGGTGCCCGCCCGCAGTCTTGCCAGACGACTCGGTGCCCGCAGTCTTGCCAGACGACTCGGTGCCCGCAGTCTTGCCAGACGACTCGGTGCCCGCAGTCTTGCCAGACGACTCGGTGCCCGCAGTCTTGCCAGACGACTCGGTGCCCGCAGTCTTGCCAGACGACTCGGTGCCCGCTGCTTGCCAGACGACTCGGTGCCCGCAGTCTTGCCAGACCCGAGTCTCGACTCGCCCCGCAGTCTTGCCAGACGACTCGGTGCCCGCAGTCTTGCCAGACGCCAGACGACTCGGTGCCCGCAGTCTTGCCAGACGACTCGGTGCCCGCTGTTCCGCCAGTTGACTCGATGCCCGCAGTCTTGCCAGTTGACTCGATGCCCGCAGTCTTGCCAGTCGGTGCCCGCAGTCTTGCCAGACGACTCGGTGCCCGCAGTCTTGCCGGACGACTCGGTGCCAGACCCGCAGTCTTGCCAGAGACGACTCGGTGCCCGCAGTCTTGCCAGACGACTCGGTGCCCGCCTTGCCAGACGACTCGGTGCCCGCAGTCCCGCCAGTTGCCACTCGACTGCCCCGCTGTCTTGCCAGACGACTCGGTGCCCGCAGTCTTGCCAGACGACTCGGTGCCCGCAGTCTTGCCAGACGACTCGGTGCCCGCAGTCTTGCCAGACGACTCGGTGCCCGCAGTCTTGCCAGACGACTCGGTGCCCGCAGTCTTGCCAGACGACTCGGTGCCCGCTGTTCCGCCAGTTGCCACGACTCGGTGCCCGCCCGCAGCTGTGCCGCCGTGCCCGACTCGGTGCCCGCAGTCTTGCCAGACGACTCGGTGCCCGCTGTTCCGCCAGTCGACTCGGTGCCCGCAGTCTTGCCAGACGACTCGGTGCCCGCAGTCTTGCCAGACGACTCGGTGCCCGCAGTCTTGCCAGACTCGGTGCCCTCGGTGCCCCGCAGTCTTGCGGACGACTCGGTGCCCGCTGTCCGCCAGTTGACTCGGTGCCCGCAGTCTTGCCAGACGACTCGGTGCCCGCAGTCTTGCCAGACGACTCGGTGCCCGCAGTCTTGCCAGACGACTCGGTGCCCGCAGTCTTGCCAGACGACTCGGTGCCCGCAGTCTTGCCAGATGACTCGGTGCCCGCAGTGCCTTGCCAGACGACTCGGTGCCCGCAGTCTCCGCCAGACGACTCGGTGCCCGACTGTCGTGCCTGGTCGGCTCGGTGCCCGCCGCTGTCGTCTGGGGGCCCGAGACCTGTTGCCCGCCTTGCCGCCTGAGGGCCCGAGACCTGTCGCTCCATCTGGGGGTCCGGCGCCCGCCGCTCCGCCTGGGGGCCCGAGACCTGTCGCTCCGCCTGGGGGTCCGGCCGCCCGCCGCTCCGCCTGCCTGGGGGGTCGATGCCCGTCCTGCCCCCGCCTGGGGGCCGATGCCTGTCGCCCCGCCTGGGGGCCCGATGCCTGTCGCCCCGCCTGGGGGCCCGATGCCTGTCGCCCCGCCCGCTGGGGGTCCTGTCGCCCCCCTGTAGGGCCCGAGACCTGTCCGCCTGGGGGTCCGCGCCTGCCGCCCTGGGGGTCCGGCCCCGCCGCTGGGGGGGTCCCGATGATGCCCGTCGCCCCGCCTGGGGGTCCGATGCCTGTCGCCCCCGATGCCTGCCTGGGGGGCCCGATGCCTGTCGCCCGCCCTGGGGGTCCGATGCCTGTCGCCCCGCCCTGGGGGCCCGAGCCTGTCGCCCCGCCTGGGGGTCCGGCGCCCGCCGCTCCGCCTGAGGGCCCGAGACCTGTAGTTCCGCCTGGGGGTCCGGTCCCGCCCCCCCGGGGGCCCGTGCCTGTCCGCCCGGGGGCCCGGGCCTGTGCGCCCCGCCCGGGGGCCGCCCCGCCTGCCCGGTGCCTGCCCCCGCCCGGGGGCCCGGTGCCTGTCCCCCGCCCGGGGGCCCGGTGCCTGTCGCTCCCGCCTGGTGGCCCGCTGCCTGCCTGCTGCTTCGCCTGGTAGCCCCCGATGTGCCTCTGCCCGGGGTCCTGCCCGATGTGCCTCTGCCCGGAGTCCTGCCCGATGTGCCTCTGCCCGGGTCCTGCCCGATGCCTGCCCGATCCTGCCCGCCCTCTGCCCGGAGTCCTGCCCGATGTGCCTCTGCCCGGAGTCCAGCCTGTGCCTCTGCCCGGGAGTCCAGCCCGATGTGCCTCTGCCCGGAGTCCAGCCCGATGTGCCTCTGCCCGGAGTCCAGCCCGATGTGCCTCTGCCCGGAGTCCAGCCCGATGTGCCCTCTGCCCGGAGTCCAGCCCGATGTGCCTCTGCCCGGAGTCCAGCCCGATGTGCCTCTGCCCGGAGTCCAGCCCGATGTGCCTCTGCCCGGAGTCCAGCCCGATGTGCCTCTGCCCGGAGTCCAGCCCGATGTGCCTCTGCCCGAGTGCCCGATGTGCCTCTGCCCGGAGTCCTGCCCGGAGTCCTGCCAGTCCAGTTTTGATATCCCGCCAGTTACCAGACCCGGGCGGTGGAACATTTTTCCCAGCTAGGACTGTTTGGAGCGTCCTGAGGCCGCTCCTTGAGGGGGGGGGTACTGTCAGGAATGGACTGGCCAGCTATGGTGGGACTCACCTGCCTTTTGATCTGCAGTACCAGGGCTGGCCAGCGGGTGTTCCCAGCAATCAGAGACTCAACTTTGCAGCCAGCTAACACCTGTAACTGATTATGCTGGGGTATTTAAGGGATGGCCAGACCCACAGACTCTGCCTTGGTGTGTGTTTGTCCTGGGCCCTGTATCCTGTTTCTGTCCTGCATCCTGTTTCTGTCCTGCATCCTGTTTCTGAACCGCTGCTGACTTCTCCTGCTCTGATCCCGGCTCGCTCCTGACCATCCCTCTGTCTGACCCTCTGTACCACGCTGCTTGCTACCTGTTCTGATCCCTGGCTTGTGACCCTGACCAATCTCCGCTTGCTCCCCGGTTTGTTTGCACTGTATTATGTTTTAGTATTGCACTGCGTTTATGTTTGTATTGTTAGTGTTAATAAATTATATTGTTTATAACATATCTGAGGTCTGCGTTTCCCTGCGTCAGTCACACATCTCTGGTCACACCTGGGAGTGGATCTCATCATCACATACTGGTATCCCAGGTCCCATCACCACATACCTGAACCCCCTGACCACATACCTGGATCCCAGGTCCCACCACCTCATACCTCAATCCCATCACTACATATCTGGATCCCAGGTCTCATCACCACATACCTGGATCCCAGGTCTCATCACCACATACCTGGATCCCAGGTCTCATCACCACATGCCTGGATCCTTGGTCTCATCACTACATACCTGGATCCCTAGTCTCATCACTACATACCTGATCCCACAGTTCTATCATCACAAACTGCCATCACCACACATACTGGATCTCAGACACCATCACCACATTCCTGGATCCCTGGTTCCATCACACACATACCTGGTTCCCCATGTTTCCATCACCACGTACCTGGATCTCATCATCACATACTGGTATCCCAGGTTCCACCATATACAGTTGTGTCCAAAATTATTCAACCCCCACTGAAAATTGAGTGTTTTGGCCAGTTTGACATTGCTTTGATCATTCAGCTCATCTTGCTTACATTTACATTAAAGAGGCACTTGTAGGTCAACAAAATATATAACATAACAGTTATAATGAAATAACCACAAATGTCTTTTCTGTGCTCACAGCATTATCAGTTTTATTCAACCCCCAAGTGACATTTCAATCTTAGTACTTAGTACAGCATCCTTTTACAGTTATAACAGCTTTTTAAAAACGTGAAGCATAGCTTGACACAAGTGTCTTGCAGCGATCTACGGGTATCTTCGCCCATTCTTCATGGGCAAAGGCCTCCAGTTCAGTCACATTCTTAGGCTTGCGCACTGCAACTGCTTTCTTTAAGTCCCACCAGAGGTTCTCAATCGGATTTAAGTCTGGTGACTGCGATGGCCACTCCAAAATGTTCCAGCCTTTCCTCTGCAACCATGCTCTAGTGGACTTGGAGGTATGCTTGGGATCATTGTCCTGTTGAAAGGTCCAACGTCTCCCAAGCCTCAGGTGTGTGACGGACTGCATCACGTTTTCCATCCAATATCTCCTGGTACTGAAGAGAATTCATGGTACCTTGCACACGCTGAAGCTTCCCTGTACCTGCAGAAGCAAAACAGCCCCAAAGCATGATTGACCCTCCACCATGCTTCACAGTAGGCAAGGTGTTCTTTTCATCATAGGCCTTGTTCTTTCCTCCTCCAAACATAGCGTTGATCCATGGGCCCAAACAGTTCTAATTTTGTTTCATCAGTCCACAGAACACTATCCCACAACTTTTGTGGTTTGTCCACATGGCTTTTGGCATACTGCAGTCGACTCTTCTTATTCTTTGGAGACAGCAAGGGGGTACGCCTGGGAGTTCTGGCACGGAGGCCTTCATTACGCAGTGTGCGTCTCTTATTGTCTGGGCTGAAACTTCTGTACCCACATCTGACAAATCTTTTCTCAGTTCCTCAGCAGTCACACGGGACTTCTCTCCACTCTCTACGCTTCAGGTAGCGCACAGCAGTCGAAGAGTCAGCATCTTCTTTCTGCCACGACCAGGTAGCGTTTCAACAGTGCCCTTTGCCTTGAATTTTGCGAATGATGCTTCCTAAGGTGTCTCTTGGTATGTTTAACATCTTGCAATCTTCTTATAGCCATTGCCCTTCCTGTGAAGAGAAATCACCTCTTCTCTTGTCTTCCTGGACCATTCTCTTGCCTTCACCATGTTTGTAACCACACCAGTAAATGTCCTAGAAGGAGCTGAGTATCACAGTCATTTTAAAGCTGCCTAATTGGTGCTTATTATGCTTGATTGCTGCTCGGTGACATCCACAGGTGTTTTCAATACCTGATGGAAAGCACCTGTATGAACCTCTGTTCTTCAGAGTGGTAGTCTTTAAGGGGTTGAATAATTGTGGCAATGAAGAAACCACATAAGAACCATTTACTACTGTATTACATAAACAATTGATGTCATTTTAGTTGCATTTGGGTAGTTACAACGTCCTTGTAGGATTTGATTCTGAATACAATTCCAAATGTACACTATAGTCCCTAAACCCCCATTACAGCATTGGGGTTGAATAATTTTGGACACAACTGTACCTGGATCCCAGGTCCCATCACCACATTACCTCATTCCTATCACTACATACATGGATCCTATGTCTCATCACCACATCCTTGGATCCCAGGTCCCATCACAACATACAAGTAGGTGCTATGCCCAGAATAATCCCCACGGAGGTAGAATGTCGGTGCTCTGGCTCTGTGTGTCTTCCCAGCACAGATGCTATTGAATAATGAGGATTGGTATTGCCAGCACTCGTCTTCCCGAATAATAAACTTTCACTTTATTGAGTGAGCAAAATTTGCATCTAAAATTGCTTACGTGTTTCGACAATAAGCCTTAGTCATAGCCATAAAGAGAAGACGATTGGCTATACCAATCCTCATTACTCATCACCACATACCTGAATCCCAGGCTTCATCCCCACATTGCTTGGATCCCGGAACTCACTACCGCATACCTGGATTCCAGGTCCCATTACCACATAACTGGATCCCAGGTCCCATCACCACATTACCTGAATCCCAGATCTCATCACCACATGCCTGGACCTGGATATCCTCACTCACCTGAATAGATCCCAGATCACAGATCTCATAACCACATACCCAGATCACAGATCTCATAACTACATACCCATACTCATTACCACCACATACTTGGATCCTGGGTTCCATGACCACATACCTGGATCCCAAAGTCCATCACCACATACCTAGATTCTGGACCCCATCACCGCATTCTTGGATCTTAGGTCCCACTACCACATACCTGGATCCTGGGTCTCATCACCACATTCTTGGATTCCAGGTCCCACTACCACATACCTAGATCCTGTGTCCTTGCACTCACAGAAATGGCTGGATTATAATGTATTTGCCACCAATGAGGTCTCTTTAATTTGAATGTATGGAAGAAGGAGATCCATGATGCCCTTACCTTGTGAAATAACTTGATGCTTGTAGATCAGAGTCATATGGTTGTCATGGACGTACTTCAGATCATGAATGCCAGATAATTCAGGGAGGCCAGATTGCAGCATCTAGGGGGATACACAAGGACAGGAAGTCATTAGCAGTACTTTCTGCTTGGAGGAGTCTTGGTCTTCTATAGAAAGACCACAGTAGCAGTTGGAGGAAAGTAGTGGGGTTACATCTGTCCTCTGACTCAACCAGTTATCTACGTAATCTAAATGTGGTCTATTGAGCTCTGTAAACACAAATTACAATATCTAGAAGTA